GCCCAAGAGTTTAAGATTGAGACCATCCAAGGAAAGCCGCTCGGGCGTGGGTACATCAAGTTCCATTCTCCGCCGATCACGCTGCAAGTGGGCTGTCTACATCGGGAAACAATCTCCTTTCTGGTACTGGAGGGATCCACCATGGATATCATCCTGGGACGCCCCTGGCTATCACAACATTCACCCGAAGTCAGATGGGAGTCCGGCGAGATACTCCGATGGGGTGAGGCATGTTTCCAAAGTTGTCTCTCCAACGTTCCGGCGCCCCGAGTCAAGAACCCCAGCCTTCACGTTCACTCCGCCCTCGTGGAAAGCCATGAACCACTCGAGGCGCCGAAGATCCCATCTGACTATGTGGTGTTCCAGGATGTGTTCAGTAAACAGGCAGCCACGAAGTTACCACCGCACCGATCATGGGACTGTGCCATAGACCTGCTGCCTGGAGCTAAACTCCCTAAGGGTCGAGTATATCCCCTGTCCATCCCGGAGCGCAAGGCCATGGAGGAATACATCAAGGAGGCTCTCCAACAACAGTTCATCTGCCCTTCCACCTTACCGGCAGCTTCGAGCTTCTTCTTCGTGGGCAAGAAGGACGGGGGCTTGCGGCCATGCATTGAATACCGGACCCTCAATGAACACACAGTCAAGCTCCCCTATCCACTTCCTCTGGCCCCGGCCGCTCTCGAGGAACTCCGTGGGGCTCGCATCTTCTCGAAGCTGGACCTGTGTAGCGCCTACAACCTCATTCGTATCCGGGAGGGTGACGAGTGGAAGTCAGCATTCATCACCCCCTCTGGCCACTATGAATATCAGGTAATGCCGTATGGCCTCTCCAACTCACCGTCCGTCTTCCAGGGGTTTATGAATAAGGTGTTCCGGGAGTTCCTCCACAAATTCGTCATAGTATACATCGACGACATCCTGATCTACTCCCGGAACCTGGCCGAACATCGCCACCACGTCACGCAGGTCCTACAACAACTCAGGAAACACCATCTCTACCTGAAGCTCGAGAAGTGTGAGTTCCACCGCCCCACGGTCCACTTCCTCGGTTACATCCTCAGCTCAAATGGCATTCAGATGGACCAGGGGAAGGTCCAGGCTATCCAGGACTGGCTCCAACCTCAGTCGGTTAAGGAACTACAATGATTCCTCAGCTTTGCCAATTTCTACCGAAGATTCATCCAGAACTTCAGTATCCTCTCGGCTCCCCTCACTACCATGCTCCGTCAGAAACCCAAGTCTCTGTACTGGAACCCCGAAGCTCGAGCCGCCTCTCAGAAACTCCAGGAAACATTCTGCACTGCCCCCATCTTCACACACCCGGATCCCCAACTTCCATTCATTGTTGAAGTGGATGCCTCCACTACCGGTGTGAGGGCAGTGCTATCACAGTACCACAGAGAGCCTCCCCGACTCCATCCTTGCGCCTATTACTCCCGGGAAGCTTTCCCCAGCGGAGCGAAACTATGATATCGGAAACCGGGAACTGCTCGCCATCAAGCTGGCGCTGGAGGAATGGCGGCACTGGCTGGAGGGAGCACAACACCCCTTTACAGTAATCACTGACCATAAAAACCTGCAGTATCTTCGCAGTGCCAAGAGGCTAAACCCCAGACAGGCCCGCTGGGCTCTCTTCTTTACCCAATTCCAATTCATCATCACTTACAGACCAGGAGACAAAAATGTCAAGGCGGATTCACTCTCTCGCACTCATGCTCCCGATGAAACCTCCACACCGGAACCCATACTCCCTCCAGCCGTCGTCGTTAACCCCATCCGGTGGGCCCTGGATGAACAAATCTGCCTCACTGCTCGGACCGAACCCGCTCTGCTCCACATCACTTGCCCGCTGGAAAACTGGTCCCATTACCTGTCCCTGGTCCCATGTCGGAGTCGACTTTGTGACCGATCTCCCCAACTCAGGAGGGTATACCTGCATTCTCGTTGCAGTAGACAGATTCTCCAAGGCCTGCAAGTTAATTCCCCTTCGGGGTTTACCCACAGCCCTAGAAACAGCAGAAGGTCTCTTTCATCATGTCTTCCACAACTTCGGTATCCCGGAGGACGTTGTCTCTGATCGTGGGCCCCAGTTCATCTCTCATGTCTGGAGGGCTTTCTTCAAGATCCTCGGTGTCACCGTAAGCCTGTCCTCAGGATATCACCCCCAGACTAAGGGACAGACTGAGCGGAAGATACAGGAGATTGGGAGATATCTCCGGGCCTACTGTCACGACAACCAGCACAGCTGGAACCGATTCCTCCCATGGGCCAAGTATGCACAGAATTCCCTCAAGCAAACCACCACAGGCCTCACCCCATTCCAGTGCATACTCGGCTACCAACCCCTCTATTCCCCTGGACAGAAGAACCCTCGGACATTCCAGCTGTAGACCACTGGTTCCGAGTGAGCGAGAGAGTTTGGGACTCAGCTCATGTCCAACTCCAGCAGGCGGTGTGGAGACATAAGACCCACGCAGATACCCGCCAATCTAACCCCCCCGCACAGAACCCGGCGAGCCAGCAGTACCTCCTCCTCCTGAGATCGTCGAAGAACCCCTGGTCTACCAGGTGCAGGATATCTTGGACTCCCGGCGACGGGGTGGTAACCTAGAATACCTCATTGATTGGGAGGGATACGGGTCGGAGGAGAGATCTTGGGTGGCCCGGGATGATGTACTGGATCCCTCTCTTCTGGCCGACTTTCATCAGCACCACCCTGACCGCCCCGCACCCAGAGGATGTGTTTACTCACCTGCTAAATACCCGATCTCTCTGCTCCTCAATCTCCACCGTTCCGGAACTCCCCCGTCTCTCCACTCCTTCAGCACCTTGGATTCCCTGGAAAGGAATTGGACATTAACACTTAGATAAGACCCAAGAGACTTATCCCACTCCCCGCTCACTTACCTGGATACTCCTTGCTCTGTGTTCAATAAATGTACTGTTTATATTTCACCTTACCTCAGTGTCCTGTGTATATCTGCTGACAGACACAGATTGTACTATGGAATATTTAAATTGAGCAGTGTAACTTTTTATGTTTCTTTAACTGTATTTTAGTCTGATAATGCAATTTGGATCGCGTCACAATGAACCGAAACTCAGCACATTTTTTTTCTTTCGTTTTGTTATCCTGCTAATGATTTAAGTGAAATATATTTTGTGTATAGGCCTATATATTCCTTTAGTTTTATTCTGTTTTCTCCATTCACAGAAGTGCTGCAGGTGCGTGATGTGACCTTGTTGAAACCTGTAATTTTCGCTGGTTTCAAAACACACAAGCTGCATATTACCTACCATTAATTTTCACTTAAATGTTGGCCTAATGCTTGACAGTTCGTGACAGATCCTCGGATAAACTCTAACTTGAATTAATGAATTTGCAGTTGCATTTCACTCATTGGATGCATCAACGTAACATTTGCATAGGCCATACTAATTGAATTTGTGATTGGTTGATTGCAAAATTAGAATGATAAAATAACATTATTAATAGGGTTGGGTATCGTTTGAATTTTATCAATACCGGTAAAAAAAAATTTTTAAACTTATTTATTGCGTCTCTTTTTGCAAAACATTTAGTTGGAGCTGAATACCATGAACAAAAATTGGACTGTTTACAGTTCACTCAAGGGGGGTCTATGCTAAAACAGCGGAGTCCGTCAACATTCGTGGGAGGGGCCTGTGCAAAGTGACAACACTTTGCCAAGAATCTGTGAACAGCTTGATCTGAGAGAGTGCTTAACATTAGATAATCATTATTTAATGTAAGTTAAAATGCTTACAAATGTCATTAAACTTTCAATTCCATATGATCAAGCACTTATTGAAAATCTACAAATGATTTTAACAGATGTTATAAAATGATTAAAAGCTTGTGTTAATGCACAACACTTCTGCTGCTATTGAGGTGTGATACGGGTAAGGTTAGGGACAGGTTTGGTGG